TCAAAGGGGAGAGGCCGGTGGGTGAGCGGCAAGGCCGGCACGTGGCTCCCTTGGCAGCCCCCGAGGACCCCCTGGCGTCCATCCCCTTCATCGGTGAGCAGGGTGGGGGGGTCACAGCCCCTAAGAAGGGGTTTAAGCAGGTCCTGTACCAGAGAGGGCACATTTTTTGGGGGTAAGGGGGGACAGGGCATGTGGCACGATTTCAGAGCATCTGTCCATGGCTGGTGTGGGGACAGGAAGGTGCTGTGCCCACAGCACCCACTTGCTGGGGGTGGCACCTGAAAACACACCACTTACCAGAAGTACTGAGGGGTCTCAGCACTAACCTCCCACCCCCCATCCTGCCCTGACCCCTCCCACAATGCTGCCCACCCCTCTCGCAGATGAACCCACCAGCCCCAGCATCGACCTGAAGGCCAAACATGTCCCTGCCTCCTCGGTGGTCTCCAGTGCCATGAACTCAGCGCCTGCAGTTGCCACCAGCCCCTCCTCTCCCACCTTCGCCTTTGCCCTGAGCCGACACTACTCCCAGGACTGCAGTAAGTGCTGGGGGGGCTCTGGGTGGGATCTAGAGCTCTGCTCTGTGCCCGCTGGGCTGAGCAGCATGTGCTTTACCCTTCTACCCCTGGCAGGCAGCATCAAGGCTGGCCGGCGATCGTCCTACCTCTTGGCCATCACCACCGAGCGCTCCAAGTCCTGTGACGATGGTCTGAATGCATTTCGGGATGAGGGGAAGATCCTAAGGTACGTTTGGACCCCTCTCCCTGTCCCACCACCACCCAGCTCCCATCCCCTCCTGCCGTCCCACTCACGGGGGCTGCTCTCCCCCCAGGAGGATGCCCAGCCGGGTCCCCAGCCTCCGCATGCTGAGGAGCTTCTTCACCGATGGGGTGAGTGTTGGGACACAGCAAGGGTTGGGGGTTCTGGGGGTGCCCCCCGCCTGGGTTCTTTGATGGGATGGTAGCTTGGGGTCGCTCTGCTTGGTCGGGACACTGGTGACATCATCCCAACTGTGCCCTCTGGTCCCCCCTCCAGTCTCTGGACAGTCTTGGCACGTCTGAAGACGCCCGCTCCAAAAGACACTCAACCTCCGACCTCTCGGACGTCCCGTTCAGCGCCGTGAGGAAGGAGGGCTGGCTCCACTGCAAGCAGATCCTCACCAAAAAGGGGAAGGTAGGTGGGTGCCACCACCCCGCCCAGCCCCGCCGGCAGTGCCGGGGGAGGAGGGGGAACTCTTCCCCCTCCACCATCAACCCTTGGGGTCCCATCTCTCCCCTTGTCCCCGCAGAAGGTCGGTGGAGGCATCCGGCAGTGGAAGCGCGTCTTCGCCGCGCTGCGCGCCCACTCGCTCTACCTGGGCAAGGACCGGCGGGAGGCGGTGACCTGCGCCCCGGCCCCAGGTGAGGAGGAGCCGATCAGCATCCGAGCGTGCCTGGTGGACATCTCCTACAGCGAGACCAAGAGGAAGCACGTCTTCCGCCTGACGACCGCTGACTTCTGTGAATATCTCTTTCAGGCAGAGGATCGGGAAGACATGCTGGCCTGGATCAAAGTCATCAGGGAGAACAGCAAGGCCGAGGGCGAGGTGAGAGCCACATGGGGCTCCCGGCTGCCTCTGGCTCTCCCGGCACTAACCGCCTCGGCTCTCTCCGGCTCTTTGCCTTGTGCTGCTTCCCCAGGCCAGCGTGGGGTGCGCTGGTCTCGTGCCACGCTCCGTGGCCGTGGCGGGGCTTGTTGGTGGTGTGCTGTGCTCTGTGGCCGGCTGGTTTGAGGCTCACCAGTCGTGTGTTGTGCTCCGTGGGGCTTGTCAGTCCCATGCTGTGCTCCGTGGCCAGCGTGGGGCTTGTTGGTGTTGTGCTGTGCTCTGTGGCCGGCTGGTTTGAGGCTCACCAGTCGTCTGTTGTGCTCCGTGGGGTTTGTCAGTCCCATGCTGTGCTCCGTGGCCAGCGTGGGGCTTGTTGGTTGGTGTTGTGCTAGGCTCTGTGGCCGGCTGGTTTGAGGCTCAGCAACCGTGTGCTGTGCTCCGTGGGGCTTGTCAGTCCCATGCTGTGCTCCATGGCCTGTGTGGGTCTCACCGGTCCCGTGCTGTGCTCCCAGGGGTGCACAGGGGCTCATGGTGTCCAGGAAGGTGCAGCTCCACCAGCCTCGGCTGGGCAGGGTGTGCTGGGATGCTCAGTGGAGGTGCTGTGGTTCTCCCTGTGCCTCAGAGGTGCTTCCAGGCGGGGTTGGTGCCGGATCTGCTGGCGGCGTTTGGTCGTGTGTTGGGAGAGGAGCACGCACGGCTCTGCCGTGGTGTGTTGTGTCTCTGCTGCTGGAGAGAGGTTTTGCAAGGAGGTCCCTGCCTGCGCGGGGCTGGCGCCGAGTCAGGGCTGAGCTGTGGTCTGTACAATGAGTTGCTCAGGTCTGAGATGGGGAGAGAGGCTCCCTGGGGGCCGTGGGCTCCACCAGAGGATCCGTGGGGCTGGATGTGCCGGTGCTGGGCTGGCCGTGGGTTTTGTGCCCACGGGGCTGGGATGGCTTAATTTGGTTGCAGTGTTGGTGCCGGGGTCAGGGCAGGCTCCGGCCCTGGAGGCTGCGTTGAGCATGAAGTGGTCTCTGGTTCTCTGTGACACGGGCCTGCTCCGGAGGGTGCAGAGGGCTCGGCAGGTCTGAAAGCACCAGCACAGGGAAGGTGCTGCCAGGTTGGAGTGTCTGGGCACCTGCCAGTGCTGCGGTGCTGTCGGGCAGGGATGGGTGCGTGTCTTTGGATGCTGCGTGGTGCAGCGGGTGTGCCTGGTGCTGGCAGATGGAGGGGTGAATGGTGCTGAGGGATGTACCAGTCCCTGAGTCTCTCTGGCCATCCTGGACCCTACATGTCACCCTGGACCCCACGTGCTGCCCCGTGCCGGAGATGGCAGTGGGACAGTGGTGGGTTTGGGGCAGCAGGGACCTGGTTCTGCCCTCGCCTGGCCCTGCCCAGCCCCTCACAGTGCCTGGCAGAGCTTGGACTTGCCCAGGGCTCTGGTGGACGTGCTGCTCAAGCTCTCCCTTCCCCTCTTCTCTCTGCCCCCCCAGGACCCCGGTTTTGCCAGCCAAGCACTTATCAGCAAGAAGTTAAATGACTACCGGAAAGTGAGGTATGGACCGGGGGGCGGTGGGCACCGAGCCCCCCCAGTGCTTTCTGCACTTCAGTTTTAAAGTGATGGAGCAAAGGCTGTGCCCAGGGTACCAGCAGGCTCCAGTTCAGCCAAACTGGCACTGAGCAAAGTGGCTCTGTGCTCCCCAGGGTCCCTGGTGTGGGGTGCAGCCCCGTGGGCATGGGGAGGATGCCAGGCAGCCTGGGGGAGATGCCAGTGCTTTCTGGGAGGTTTTGTGCCAGGCTGGTGCCCCCAGCTGTGCCCACCTGAGCCCCCTGCTCTCCCCGCAGCCCCGCAGGTGCCAAGCCTGACTCCTCACCCAAGGGCACTCGTGGGCTGGGGATCAGAGCCGAGTTCCTGAAGCAGACAGGAACCAGTGTGCCCCGGTCCCCCAGGCAGGATGCAGCCATCACGAAAGGTAGGACCCACTCCTGGGGGGTGGGGCACAAACCAGGGGGCTTTGCAAAGATGGGGGGGCGAGTCTCACCCCAGAGCTGCCATCGTGCTTGTCCCTATAGGGCAGCAGGGACCCTCTTTGCATTTGTCCTGGCTCATTAGCAAATGATCCTGCGGGTTTTGCTCCCCAGATGAGAGCGGCTCCCAAAAAGCCCCGTGGGGCATCAACATCATGAAGAAGAACAAGAAATCTGTCCCAAGGGCCTTTGGTGTGAGGTTGGAGGACTGCCAGCCTGCCCCGGACAACAAGGTACGGCCGTGCTGGTGGTGCCAGCCCTTGTGGACCCCACACAGCCCTGGCACCTCAGTCACCCCCACCCTGTCCCCACAGAATGTCCCCCTGATCGTGGAAGCCTGCTGCAGGGTGGTGGAGGACCGAGGGCTGGAGTACATGGGCATCTACCGCGTGCCCGGGAACAACGCGGTGGTGTCCAGCCTGCAGGAGCAGCTCAACAAGGGGGCCACGGAGATCAACCTGCAAGATGAGGTGAGGGCAGGGCAGACGTGTCCTGGGAGGCACTTTGGGGCTGTTGTCCTGGTCCAGGACTCTGCCACTATCCCTGTCTCCATCATTAAGGTTGTAGGGTGGATGGTTGAACTTGGTGATCTTGAAAGTCTTTTCCGACCTTGATGATTCTGTGGTTCTGTGGTTATCCCTGTCTCCATCATCATCCCCATTCACGAAAGGTAGGACCCACTCCTGGGGGGTGGGGCACAAACCAGGGGGCTTTGCAAAGATGGGGGGGCGAGTCTCACCCCAGAGCTGCCATCGTGCTTGTCCCTATAGGGCAGCAGGGACCCTCTTTACATTTGTCCTGGCTCATTAGCAAATGATCCTGCGGGTTTTGCTCCCCAGATGAGAGCGGCTCCCAAAAAGCCCCGTGGGGCATCAACATCATGAAGAAGAACAAGAAATCTGTCCCAAGGGCCTTTGGTGTGAGGTTGGAGGACTGCCAGCCTGCCCCGGACAACAAGGTACGGCCGTGCTGGTGGTGCCAGCCCTTGTGGACCCCACACAGCCCTGGCACCTCAGTCACCCCCACCCTGTCCCCACAGAATGTCCCCCTGATCGTGGAAGCCTGCTGCAGGGTGGTGGAGGACCGAGGGCTGGAGTACATGGGCATCTACCGCGTGCCCGGGAACAACGCGGTGGTGTCCAGCCTGCAGGAGCAGCTCAACAAGGGGGCCACGGAGATCAACCTGCAAGATGAGGTGAGGGCAGGGCAGACGTGTCCTGGGAGGCACTTTGGGGCTGTTGTCCTGGTCCAGGACTCTGCCACTATCCCTGTCTCCATCATTAAGGTTGTAGGGTGGATGGTTGAACTTGGTGATCTTGAAAGTCTTTTCCGACCTTGATGATTCTGTGGTTCTGTGGTTATCCCTGTCTCCATCATCATCCCCATTTCCATCTCCGTGACCTTCCTTGGAGTGGCAGGGCCGCCTAGTGGTCGGTGGCCGCAGTGTAGGAGGCAGCTTGGGGACACATTTGTCCCCTGTCACCTCACCACATTGCTGCAGTGGCACAGGCCTTTCCTCACAGCCAGGGCTGGTGTCCCCCTCGGTGTTGGTGGCCTGGCTTGGGGACTTTCTCCTGCTGGCACCTGGGTTTGCCTGGTGTGGTCCCTCTGAGCAGGCTCTCCTCTCCTCTCCCCACAGCGGTGGCAGGACCTGAACGTCATCAGCAGTTTGTTGAAATCCTTCTTCCGAAAGCTGCCCGAGCCCCTCTTCACCGACGGTGAGTCCCTGTGCCTGTGCTGATGTCTTGAAGTGCTGACCAGCAGCCCCAGAGCCTGCCCTACCCATCCCTGTCTTGGGGACAGGTCCCCATATCCTGTGACAGAACGGGCCAGCACCCACCCAAGGTGGGGGCAGCTCTGTAGACCCCCTCCTCGCTGAGTCCCCTGGTCCAGCCCTTGTCCTTCCTTGTCCAACTGTGCCCCATCCCAGTGGGACCCCACCAGCCCCCAGCATCTCTGGCTGGTGCATCCAGGAGCCCTGGGGGGTGCCCTCTCCCCTCTGCCCACCTCTGACTCTCCCCCCACATCCTGCTTTCAGACAAGTACAACGACTTCATTGAGGCCAACCGGATAGAAGATGCCAGCGAGAGGATGAGGACGCTGCGGAAGCTGGTAGGGAGATGGGGCAGGGGTGGGAGTGGGGGGCACTGCCCTGGAGCCCCCCTTGGGAGCTGGGGGAGGTGGGAAGGATGAGTAGGGGGTGAGCAGGGAGGTGACCCGATGTCTCTCTGCAGATCCGGGACCTGCCAGGTCACTACTATGAGACACTCAAGTTCCTGGTGGGTCACCTGAAGACCATTGCTGACCACTCGGAGAAGAACAAGGTACCGTTTGCCCACCCTGGGCCAGGCAGGCTCTCCTGGACCCCTGCCCCACCTCCAGCTCCCCCCAGCTTGCCCGAGCCACATCTCGTGGTGGGCTGGGAAGGGAGGTGGTGCCTGATGGAGCAGTGACTGCTGCAGGGTGGGCTTGGCCAAGTCTGGCTGCAGATGGAGCCCCGCAACCTGGCCCTGGTGTTCGGCCCCACGCTGGTGCGCACATCCGAGGACAACATGACAGACATGGTGACACACATGCCCGACCGCTACAAGATCGTGGAGACCCTGATCCAGCACGTAAGTGGCATTGAGGGGCGGGTGGGCAGGGGTGTGACTTGGGGGGCTGATCTGCACCCCAGGGGATGGTGCTCCCCAACCACCCTGAGCTCCTTGCCAGTTCCTAACCCCTCTCCTGTGTCCCCCTCCCACAGTCAGACTGGTTCTTCAGTGACAAGGAGGACAAGGGTGAGAAGGTGAGTCCCATCCCCCAGCCCGGGGGGTCTTGCTGTGGGGCAGGGGGGGCGCAGAGCCCCAGTGGGGAGGGGGGGCTGTCGGCAGCTGCCTGATCTCTGCATCCTCTCCCCTGGCAGACCCCCGTGGATGAGAAGGAGGCGCAGTCAGTGCCCAACATCGAGTACCTGCTCCCCAACATCGGCAGGACCACGGCACCTGGTGATGCTGCAGGTGAGGAGATGTGTCAGCGCCACCCACCCCCCCAGGCCTGGCACCCAGGAACCCCAGAGAGTCTCTCCAGCTGCTCCATCCCCCCATGCTCCCACCACCATGGGCAGCCAGCCCTGCTTGCCCCGGCAAACCTGCGTGTGCTGGAGCAGGATGTCCCAGCTCCCTCCTCACTGGAAAGGGGACATACCCTCCCTGGGGTGCTAGCAGAGCCCCCTCCCTGCCCTTTCCTGTCACCCTTCTCTCTGGTGGCTCGTGTCCCTCTGCAAACCCCTCCAGCCATGGAACCCTGGCAGCCTATGGGACCCCTGCCCACACCCACTGCCCCACGCCAGCCCCCGCTGCCAACCCGGAGATCGGGAGACTTGGGTTTTCGACTGATTTCTTACGTTCTTTCCTTGAACTTCTCTGTGCTGTCCTCTTCCTCCTCCTCCTCCTCCTCCTCTTCCTCCTCCAGCGGACCTCCTCGAGAGCTAGAGCGGGTACAGTGTTATCCTGGGTGCATTGCTCACGCACTAACTCCTCCGGGTGACCACGAGAGAGCGGGAGCAGGGGGGTGGCAGCGGGAGGGGAGGGGACCCTGTCCTGCCCAGCCACCGTACCCAGGGTTCCCCAGGATCACAAGAGGTGGCCGAGCCCCTGGGGTGCCCCAAATCCTTTAACCCTGCTTCTCCTGCGTCGTTGGCGTCATTGCCTGGGGCAGCACTGGGACTGCTGGTGGCATCCCCTGGCAGGGATGGCTGCTGGGTGTCCCAGGACTGGTACACCCAAACCCCGGGGGATGGGGGTCCCGATGTCCCAGGGAGGGTCAGCACCCCCTTTCTGCCTCCCCCTCTCTCGTCGTCAGCAGCTGCTAACCCCATCCTGGGGCACACGGGGCGGGTGAGGGTGTCTGTCGTCTTGTCCTTCACGCCACGGTGGCAGGGCTGGTGCTGCCTGTCACCCCCATGTCCCTGCTTGTCCCCTAACCCCCCAGGGAGCCAGGACAACCCCATGGCCTGTCCCAGCCCACTCTGGCACGGCCCATCCCAGACCCCACTCTGATGCTGGATGTGTTGTTAAGCCAGCCAGCTCCCTGTGTCCCCTCTGGGTGACGGTGGCAGCACCATGCCCAGCCCCAGTCCCGTCTGTGCCCCATGGCCATGAGAGGGTTGGGGTCCTGCTGCTGGGGTCCTGGCTGCGTTTCCTGGCTGTGTGTGCCTGCGTGTGTGTCCCCCCTTGTCCCCACAGCTCAGCCTGGGACTCTGCAGTGGGTGAGCAGTCCCAGGGACCCCCATGCACCACCGGGGTCCCTCCTTAGCCTCCTGGTATCTCCTGCACACAAACCCACCCACGGCTGGTGTCCCTATGGCCCTGGCATGTCCCCAGCCCACTTTGGGGGAACGGAGCAGCGCCCCCCAGCTCTACCCACTGAAAACCCCTCCCCGGGATGTGCCCACCCCTGGGGGCCTGGTTAACCCCTCCCTCCCTCTGCTCTGCTTTACAGGCTCGACCCGCAGCGGCTCCGCCAAACCGAAGGTGAGAGGGCTGGGGGTTGGTGGGGAGGGGACACGATCGCTGGGACACGG